TGATGGTGTATTTTTGTGATAGTGGCCATTTGGCAGTATATAGTGCTTTTACCATAGATTCCTATGGAAACGATATTATGCCATATCTCAAGAGGACTTTTTGTTGTCTGATTTATTTCAAAAAAATCTAGAATTTAAAAAGTGTCACTGTATTCACACTGCTTTCAACAAAATATGTAAATATCTTAATTTTTAATTTCAGATTTATTAAAATATTATTGAAATAAATTGAAAATATTATTCGAAAGCCAACCGTTAACAGTCAAAACCAAAGCAGATAGCCAATTTGCTAGCGAGTTTGCAAATTGGCTGCCCCAATACTTCTGAGACTTGCTGTAATGTACTGGCCAAGTCAACGATGGTTTTTTTTTGCAAATATTGTACTGGTATTCACTGACATGGATTTTCATCCAACCTTCTGTGATTTTTTGATGAGGTCATTAATTGAGTACATGGGGAAACAAATTTCAGGAAAAAAACCCAGAAAATTAGTGGTAATAGCAAAGAGGATGAGGGACTGCATTTTTAAAAAACATATTTTATATCTAGGGTATATAATTATTATTATACATCATCTACATCCGGACTCCACTCAAAGAAGTTCGCTGATTCTGTTCGGAACATTTTGGAATTAAACATTCCTATGATGTATCCTTGAGAGGAAAAGAGAATGACATTATGCCGTCACATCGACTTCCGCTGCGTGTTGGTTGATTCTCCCACTGTACTGTCTTCCTGCATACTTTGAGGTATTCTCGTAAAACCTCATAATATTACAATCAATCTAAGATAGAAGCTTTATGATAGTAGTGTTTCATGTGTAGCCATAATAAAAAATATATTTTTTCTGGGTAATTTTTTTCAGATGAAACTCTGTGGCCTTTTTGGGTGGATACACATTTTGATCCTCCCTTCCAGAAGACCAGGTAATGTAAGTCCGAAATGCGACCTAAGTTTAATTTCATGTAGTTTCTCTTTCACTACCGGTAATAATTAATGCAAGCTGCTTGCTTTTTTATAATTATTACCACCGGTTTCTTCTTTCCATCCTAAATTCACAAAATAGTCCCTTTTATAGTCTGCACTTTTCTTCAAAAGATTGAGACAAAAATGGCCAAATTGTTCGAGTAAAAACTGAAAATTGACTCAAATTTTATCTTTTGGCTCCAGAAATATTGAGATTAATTAAGATTGGAATAAATTAAGATTTGCACAAGATTCACTAGTGAAAACACTTGCTAATATTCTACCATTATTGAATCAATTATTTTATAGTGTTGGTACAGTGATAATTTCTGTATCTTGATAAAATACAAATATTTTGTTTTCCATTATAATTTGATGTTTAATAATCACATATCCATAAATATCTTCCTTGTCTTCATATTTGTGATTTACATAATAATTAGTCTGTTTTTCAGCTTTTCCATGAAAGCTTTCTTTGATCTGTATTGTGTGTACATTGTTTTATGACCACTCATAATCTTTTTTAGTCAGTGTTTTGACACATGGAATATGAAATTAACTAAAACCTTAAACTGAATGGTTCATGTTTCCTGTGAACCAGTTTTAATGATTGACTGCCCCTATTGGTCTCATCAATTACACTGAGAAATGTGCCACTGTGGTTACACTTTGAGACAACTAGTACAAATAAGCTTTTCATCTGAAAAGTTAACTTTCCATTCATCATTTATCAATTTGTGGGACATGATAAATATATAAACATATTTTATTGACAGTGATGGTAAAGTTGTGGATAGTAATAATGATGTTATGAGGATACACAAAGATGTTCCTGCTATACTAAAACAGATTCAAGATCGAGAAATTCAGATAGCTGCTGCTTCAAGGTACTTGTGTGAATAGAACAGAGAATTTAAATACAATTATTTATAGTATTTGATTGATTAAAAATAGTTCCTTTCCTTTCAAAGTGACTGTGAAATTTGTTCCGTTTCCTGTGGATCTTATTCCAAATTTTCAGCTTTTTAGTGGCAGCAAATCCACTGGTATTGACAATGCTACAAAATAATAACAATGACTAGCCCATCAACCCATAATGGATGAAACTCACTTTGTGTGACATACATTTAGCACAAAATGAGCTTGAGTTCATTATGGGTTGGCGTGGAGTAGCCAATACTGCAATAATGTCAGTTCAGGTTCTGGTATCTGCAGGGTTAGCTTTCTCTCTACAGGAGTCATCATGGCCATGTACATTTCTGTAGTTGGTAATATTTTTTTTTCAGGACAGACTATCCAACCGGTGCAAAGACTTTACTAAAACTTTATGATATTGACCAATATTTTAATTACAAGGAAATTTATCCTGGCTGCAAAAGAAAACATTTTGAGAAGTAAGTTCAAGATTGACATGATCATTTGTGACATTTTCCATTGTGCTATATTATATGGTTTGATTGAAATTGTATCTGTTATTTCTTCTAGGTTTCATAAAGCAAGTGGTGTAGCGTATGAAGATATGCTATTTTTTGATGATGAAGCAAGAAATATCAGAGATATCTCCAAGATTGGTGAGCTATCACATATCCAATAAGATTATGAGAATACAACAAAGTATGCTCAAAAGCAGACGTTCATGCAATCCTGAACTGCCGGAATGCATATTTTGCGGTATTCTCATGATATCCAATGATATTCATGTCAGCATTGTCGATCAATGGAAACAAGGTGTTTGAATGTGACATAAATATGATATACATTTGCCAATAAACAAGCCATTGATTAATACATGGAAATTAAATATATACGGTACTCCTTTTTGATCAAGTGCATGTACCAGTTCTATACTGAACTGCCAGACAATTTAACATGTGTGAGTATATAATAATAAAAAAAAAAATTGGAATAATTATGTCAGATTGTAAAGCAGACAGGCTTTATGATTGTATGAGTTGCATTTGATTTCAGTCATCTATCCCACAATACATTAATTTATGATTTTGAATTGTGATACTGTCTATGACTGCCAATAAACCATTTTGTATTGTGACACAAACCAACTGTTTTTGATATGCTAGATATGTTGATTTGCATCAAACAAAATGGTTGCGAGTTGACTATCTTGAATTGGAATGTTACACAAATAAACTTTTGTTGATGTGTTAGCACAGAATTTTCTGTGAACCAAGTTTGGACCCAATTTAACTGCAAGAATTTCGGAAATAAGTGTTTTAAAAAGAACTAGAATCGACAATGGCTGCTGAAATGGCTTCTGGTCAGCCACATTTCATAGAATCTTTAAGCTATTTTTTGTTCAAATATGCCCGCCAGTCAGTCATTGTTTGATTGAACAAAACTCCCATGTATCAACCATGTTTGAGGGGGAATCAGGCTATTAATTTTCAAGATAATGAACGAATGGAATTCAATCCATAAGCCTTGGCTAAAAAAGAATTCAAACTCATCTGTAACACATCCAAATACGTCTACGGCTGATTTTGCTTCCTCACATATAATAAGATTTGGCTGAGCCATCCCACTGCTGGAATTTCAGAGTTAGGAAAAAGACAAAAAGATAGTTTGTGCTTCTCGGTGATACAGCCCAGTTAATCTGTTAATAAGCAAAATGATTTTTGACTGGTTTGCATGTTGTATACTGTTTTCATTTTTAATAACTCAATTTATCCACAACTGAATTAAGAGGTTACATGACTGCAAAAAATGCTAATAAATACCCCTAATGTATTGTATATGTTCCATGACACTTACTTTATACTCAATGCAATATTAAATCTTCCTGTTTTTACAGGTGTTACCAGTATATATGTGGATTATACAGTTGGTCTAACTGTGAAAGTGTTGGAAGAAGGCCTCCAAAAACATTCAGAGAAAAAATCAAAAAGATGATTTTGACATTTGTGATACCAAAAAAAATGTCAGTCCCTCATATGCAACAATGAACAAATGTAAACAAACAAGATATAATAAGAGACATAACCTCACTCATATTATGACCAATTATTATTATTATTGCTGCCTTCTGTGCAGCCCTGCAAACAAAGTACATTATGTCTCAGTTCTTCTAGGGTTTGTGATTCTATAGTACTGTATTTACTCAGCAAATTTAAAACTCCAAATCAAAATGACATATAGTATTTGAGATGCTGATCCAGCATTCATGCATTTTTGTGAGAATATCCTTATTGTGTATATAGACAGTAAACATTGGTAACATTAGGAACAAATTTGATACAAAACACTTTTTAAATGAGTGCTTCTTCATAATAACTGTGAAATTATAAATTATTTACATTCTAAAATATTGTTATTTTAATATTCATACACACACTAATCTTGAAGTCTGGTTCCTGAAAATAAAATAAAATATATGCGAAAGATCTATATTATGGAATTAAACCATCCATCAATCAATCCCTTGGGCTCTTTTCAATACTACACCGTGATTTTTATATTTTACCAAACTGTTGCTGAACTTTCACACATACTGGTTATGCATATTGTTTGCATAGTAGCACATTAAATTGACAAGGTTATAAATATGCAATGACTGCATTCTGTAGATCAGAAACTGCAATTTACATGTACATAGATTTCTAGTTTGCAAGTACATGTTTAAAAAGCTACCGAGTGTATTTTCACAGCACTGCCTTGAAATCTTTACTATATTAACACTGATATATAATGTAAAATACTTTCTTTTATGCTTGTAATTTATTTTCTCTATTTTTGCTTAAGGAATGATTCATGACAATAAAAGGAATATACCCAGTACTTTGTTTTTCTATATACTTAATATCCAACTTATCAAAAATCAGTGAAAATAAATTCCATACAAAACACCCCAGGTCTTTTTTAATTCCGGCTGACATAAAGTATTTTACAGTACCACACTTATCTCCCAAAGAAGCAGACATGAACTAATAAATGCTGTACTTTATTTTAAACCATACACACCTATCATTTACATTTATTGTATGCTGTACTTTATTTTAAACCATACACACCTATCATTTACATTTATTGTATGCTGTACTTTATTTTAAACCATACACACCCATCATTTACATTTATTGTATGCTGTACTTTATTTTAAACCATACACACCTATCATTTACATTTATTGTATGCTGTACTTTATTTTAAACCATACACACCTATCATTTACATCATATAGTATAAGAGTTCAAAAAATCTGTACTATCATAACATGCTGATATACCATATAATCAAATCTGTTTCTAGATGTAATTCCAGATCATGGTTGAGCTATTAAATCATATGTTTGTGAAATTTGCCTAAAACAAAAAATGAGACAGGAGCCTCATCGTTAAAATCTTACATTT